GCACACTTTTGTTTTCTTTGACTTGCACGTGTTAAAATCTAGGTCATCGTTTCAAAATGTAAATACTGTGGGAAATAATCATGCAGATATTACAAAAACACAACACAGGAATAGAATATTCATCCTTTAATAATATATTTACCTAGAGAGATTTTTAAAACACGTCACTGTGTTTTTCTAGAATATTTGGATAAAAAAAATATTCGATACTAGCAAATATTCATTACTGGTAAAATGACTGTATATCGTCCACGTTATCTGTAGAAAAAAAGACCGCGTCCACAGAAACCGACTCTATTTGCTGTAATTGGAAGTCCGACAATTTAAATTATTAAGAAATAGGATATAAGAAAAATATTCAGCACTAATAAATGGCATAGCATAGTTTGTAAAACAGGGGTTAAAAATTTTTTTTGTCATGGTCAAGTCCAGGACTTAAAGAGTAAATTCTAGGCAAGTCCGAGGAAGAAATTTCAGAGTCCACATTTACCTATACATCATTAAATTTATGTTGCTTATAATTTATTTTCATTTGTTACATTGAATGAATAAAGACCATATGTATTAATATTTGTTTTATTTTTCCTCCATAAACTGTCATATAGTCATACGTAAGTATTTCAACACAATACCAGACTGATAGATTATTGGTACATTACAATAACTTTTACAGATACTCACTACTGAATAAACCATCTGTTACAATAAATAGAAATTAGAATGTGCTGTAAGTCACAGTTAAAACCGAAATTTAACAAACTCATTGCCGTTTGTCATATAGGAGGAAACATGAGGAATGCGTAAAAGCAAGAGTCTAACCGCAACGGAAAATAAAAAGATGGATTGTATTTTCGAAACGTTCATAATGTTTTATGGGTATTTAAACGCCCACAAACCCACATTTTTACTTAATACGTTTGAGAATTAGCTTTATTTTTAGCTTTACGATCATTTTTTCAACTTAAAAAAAAGATAAACAAGAAACATAGCCAAGTCCCAGGACTTTGGCAAATTCTAAATGTCGAGTACGGATCTGGAATTTGTTAGTCCGGGACGTCGGGCTTGAGGAATTTTGAACCCCTGTAAAAGATGTTTTATTTTGTACTATGGCTACAATCCGCACGATATTGTACAGAAATTGATGTCAGAATTAAATTTCCTCTAGCGTCTGTATATATGCGTAATGAAAATGTGAAGATAATTAATAGTGATCGATTCTGAAAAGAAATCTTTCTAACAATAAAATTTTGTTAACACACGTAGAATCAAAAATATGGAATTTTTTGGACAACATTGTTGGCCAGAAATAGACCCATTCTGATCGCGGTAAATGCATGTTCACATGCACGACAATTACAGTACCGACCAGACCCAACCTGACACAAAGCAGTCCCAGAGCAGTCCCGGGGACTGCTTTCTGGGACTGCTAAAGCAGTCCCACAGCAGTCCCACAGCAGTCCCACAGCGGTCCCAGAGCAGTCCCACAGCAGTCCCAGAGCGGTCCCAGCAGTCCCAGCGGTCCCAGAGAGCAGTCCCAGCAGTCTCAGAAAGCAGTCCCAGCAGTCCCAGAGGGCGGGGTTTATTAATGTAATGGGCGGAGCTAACTCAGAAATGAGATTTCCAATAAACAATGGGATTAGAAAAGGCAGATGAAATTTATTCTGGGTAGTATGCCAGGAATCCTTACATGAATGCGAAGGTCATTTATTAACAGTATGCGCAGAGAACCAATTTGGAATAATATTTATCAAAGGAAGAAGGCTTTCACACCTACATGTATAAAATTAAACTGAACATGAATATTACACCAGAGCAGTCCCAAATTAAAATTCATTAAAATTTAAATTTATTATCTATTAATTAAAATTAATCAAAATTATCTGGTATATAAATAATTCCATTTCTTTATTTTCTTTGATTGATACTGTTTCCCATATTAATTTTTTCTACAGAAAATTAAACGTGAATTATTTATTTTCCACCAGAACAAGCTTTAAATAGATCTTATCGTTATATGGCCAATTTCCATACTATCCGGATACTCTAATAAATTTTCTTAAGTATTGGGGCTTTTAAAAAAAATCTTTGTTAATTTTGCCCAGTATTATTTTTCAGTCATGATTATTTTTACTTTCATGTCAATTTAATTAATTTAAATTTCTCTATCTCTATAATACTGTGCTTTAAGTTTTAAGTGCTTTATTATTTGTAAATGTTAGAGTGTATATCTGTAAATCACCAGAATGGAACCCTCAGATTATGTTCAAAATTAATTAATCCTGAAAGAAATTCATACACATTTCATTTCTCAATTTTATTTTTGCTTTACATAGATTGAAATTAGGGTCATTGTTGACCAGCATGTTCAATGATGTGAAACGCTGATATGTATACGCAAATAACATGAATTGATTTTCTGCCCAAAGGCGATTAAAACCGCGAGTGTTGATACCATTTTTATACACATTAATCGGCCAGGTAAACAGAAGCAAAACAAAAAAGAAATAAATCACAATTCCCGGTATTTTCAACTGTTTATTTTTAAAATTAATGTACTCTTTTAATAACTTGTTTATAAATTAAAAACTACCAGTAATTCATAAATAATTTCCCCAGTGATTATCCACATTGTTTATGTTACGGAAGAATGGTAGCATTAATTTATTAATTTTATTTTATGGTCATTTAATAAATTGTGAGGTTTTCTATTTGAGGGTTAAAAACATGTTCCTTTTTCAATTAAAAATCTTTTATTTAAGTGTAATAATTATTTTTAAATAGTAGCAATTCAAATTTTTAGTATCTAATTTTACATTAAATACCCCCGTAATAAAAAAGGCCTACATGTTGATATTTTTTCTCCTAAACCTTATCTTATATTTAGGAGAAAAAAAATTAATATTCTCCTAAATTCCTTATTTTACAACTTTATTTTTAAAAAAAAATTTTCTAAACCACATTTGTGTAAATATACAGTCTAGGTAAATATTAATTAACTATAATAATCTCTACTTATTAAAAGATTGTAAGAAATCCTTGCTTTTTAAACAGATTAAACTCATCTCTGCTGCAAGTAAACAAAACAACAGGGGGCCTGCAAATTCAGAATACACAAGGGGGCGGAGCTATCATGTCACTCAGAACCTTTTTTCACACATGAGTGAACAAAGCAGTCCCAGGGACAGCTGGGACTGCTGGGACTGCTGGGTCTGCTTTTTAGAGCAGTCCCAGAGCAGTCCCATAGCGGTCCCAGAGCAGTCCCACAGCGGTCCCAAATGCAAAGCAGTCCCGGGGACTGCTTTCTGGGACTGCTTGGGTGTCAGGTTGGGTCTGGTCGATACTGTAGGTGGATTAATAATTCTTTTTATTTCAATATTCAGACTTTTTAATCAAGTGATTTCTTTTATTAAAGATTAGAAAAGATAAATATTATTGATTTGTAGTTTTTACTCATGATTTTTTTCTTTTATGTAAGGAAAACATTTTCTAAAACGATATACATGTATCTTATTATTTTTCCCCTTCAAAACATTACCATGATTACGATTGAATGCGTTTAGGCCTTAGTTTACAAATAAATTTCATATTAAAATAATTATTTTACGTAGTTTCACTCAAAACCAGAACAAAACATGTACGGTAATGTTGACCCTGATTACCAAACACAGACTTCCCGTGTAATACTACATATACACAGATTTTTGACATTCTCGGGTATTGGGGGTCTCCAGGTAAATAACACCACTGTTACTTCGACCACTCCCCCTCCTCAGGTAACCGTACAGTAAAAAAATTGGGTCTTTAAAGAATGCAGTATGCTCAGGGTTCCAAACAACTATTTACCTAATCATCATGATCTCAGCGAGATGTCGTAGCACACAGATTTACATAGGGGTAAAGAGCTAAGGGGTAACGGATGGAAAGGTCTAAGGGGAATAGAGTTAAGGGCAAGAGAATAGATTGATAGAAATGGATTTTGTGTCATTTCTTTCGCGTGAAAGGGCAAATAAGAATAAAATTACTTGATAAAATTCTGGGCATGTGAATATTGTTTCTGGCTAGTGTAATTAGAGGTTACAAATGGCCGAAGGGCATGTACTGAGAAAAAGATTTGGTAAAGACTGGTTTTGATAAATTTTAATGCAGTAGAAAAAATTACTTTTAATATTTGGTGTGATTTATTTAGTGTAGAGCCGTATCATCCAGATTTCGTCTAAATGTCTTAGTCCTTGCATACCATCCGAGAGATCAGGGTTAGTAAATCGTTCTCTTAGATAAGTTAAGAAATATTTGCTCTTGTAATTTTTGCAAGATCATAATTCAGCTTCAATGGGGACACTACATTTTAGCAATTTTTTCTGGACTAGTTAAATAAAGTTCCCATTTTTAAGACCCAGAGTCGTGTCGAAGATGCAGTTTTTGTAAAAAAAAAAAAAAATGTGATAGTGGTTTTTTAGAGGGTTTTTGTCTACATCCTGTGTATTGTTTTATATTTATTTATTTGCCTCCTTTCATAAGAATAAGTCTGAGACATGATTTTTTTGCTGCTACCCTAGGTTAAAATATTCCACATTTGAACTTTGAAGCCATAAGAGTACGCTTTGCGTAATTTTATGATAGAAACATGTAATTCAAAATACATGTCTTGAATTGAATAATAACATTGATATTCATACAAGTTTAAATTGGCAGAAAAAAATAGAAAATAAATAAACTTTATACAATAAAGCATTTCTCTCTGAGATTATATATTTACTATGTGTATCGCATGAGAATTGGGGTCCCAAATTTTAATACACCTGTATAGGCAAGCAAAACTTGGGCCCAGCTTTATATTGCAAACAACACTTCTCGACCTTGGAGGTTATCATGCAACATTCAAGATAACACAGACTTTATTTCTTAAACCTATAAAATTTGTAATAAAAATACATAATTTTGAGATTCATATTACTGGTAATACTTTAGAACTGCATACTTATTTGACATTTTTTCTGTATTTTAACTCTACTTATAGTTTGTTGTTCATAATATTGATCCGAGATGGCAATGCAGGCAAGACAACAACAGGAAGCTGTTGAAGTGGAGGATGAAACCTTTGGCCCTATGCCATTGAATCGCTTGGAGGTTGGTCAATAAATTTGTTGCAGCACTGCCTAGAATTGAATCTTATTCCTGATATTTATATAAAACTTAACAGTTTACTTAATAATGCCCCATGACATTTTTGGGCATAGCCATATAGTGTTGGGTCTGTCTCTCTGCAAACACTTTAACCTACTTCTTAAAATCTGGACAGTTGCTGCTATGGCTTTTATTTTCTCTGTTTATTTTTTTTGTGACAAGGCTTTTTTGTAGTTGTCAACATTTTGACCTTAGTCTTGACATTAGAATTGAAATACTTTAAAAAAAAATTAACTTTGCCTGAAGCTTTGGAACTGTGGAGCCAGGGACTTCTTTTTTTTTTTTTTTATCTCACAGGTATATTCCTTGCAACAAGGCCTTTCTTTAGGTATCATAAAATAATCAATTTTTTTACTCTCATGACCTTGGAAGTGGCTAACTAATGAAAACTTTAACCTTGTCCATAATATTTAACTGATGCTATTGGTTCTAAATCTTTCATATTTTAAATGTATATTCTTTGTGCCGAAATCTTTGGTGTAATTATTGTCACTGAGGCTCAACTGAGCGATCACAACACACAACTTTGCACATTTTACTTCTTCACAAGAAAACGATTTTAACCAAACTTGGTACAAAGCATCCTTGGGTGAAGGGAAATTTAAATTCTTAAAATGAAGGGCCAGGTCTTCTCACAAGGGGGAGATAATCAAGAAAAGACAAAAATAGGATGGGGTCATTAAAAAATCGTCTTCTCAAGAACCACTGGGCCAGAAAAGCTGAAACTTATGTGGAAGTATCCTGGGGTAGTGTAGATTCTAAATTGTACAAATCATGACCCCCTGGGGGTGGGCGCGGCCACAATAGGGAATCAGAGTTTTACATAGAAATACAGCCTATATATTGAATATATATTGAAATTCAGGGGACCATGCAAATTATTTCAATTTATCCGTAGTTCAATATAAGCGAAATCGTGAAGCCGCCATTTTTACCAGTTCAATCCCGATCTAAAATAAAGAAGAACAAACCCAAACAAATTAACTTTTTCTCTGTTTATTTTAACAGTGAACATAACATAGAATTTTTTGAATGTTTAAATTTTTTTTTTATTTCTGTTACATCGAAAAGACAATCTTCAACTTCATTATTATTGAAATTTGCTTGGAGAAAAAAAAAAAATTAACGCTTTGTATTTCATCGTAAGTGTACTCGGGGTAATCCCTTAGTTATTTCGAATTTAGGCATATCAATAGCCATTAACAGCACGCATTTAATTTCAAAGTTATGTTTTTTTTCTAGACCTGTGGGGGGGGGGGGGGGGCACTATTATAATATTACGTTTAGCTGTTTAGCCTCGATATGTCCGTATCATATATACATGGACGCAAAGAATTTTTTAAAGAATCTCTTATTTGTAAGAACATGCAGTATAAAAACACATAAGGTGAAAACTTAATTATTCACACCTTTGTATATCACCTTGTCAATCATGCATAATTATTGCCACCAACCGTAATCTTTCATATTTTAATATAACCTTATGAAAACAACTCATTATCACCTGTGGGGACCAATATAAGCGAAATTTCAATATATCCGATTTCAATATAACCGTTATTTTAATGCAAAGGATATGACAGGCAAAAACTGGGGATTTATTTCCATTTCAAAATAAGCGGAATTTCAAAATAAGCTAGTTCAATATAAGTGGAGTAAGCTGTATATAGGAAAAAACTTTAAAAATCTTCTTCTCAAGAACCACTGGACCAGAAAAGCTGAAACTTATGTACAAAGCATCCTTGGGTGAAGGGAAATTTAAATTGTTAAAATGAAGGGCTAGGTCCAAAGTTTTACATAGAAATAAATAGGAACACACTTTAAAAATCTTCTTCTGCAAAAACCACTGGGTCATAAAAGCTGAAACTTATGTGGAAGCATCCTGGGGTAGTTTAAATTTTAAATTGTCAAAATTGTGACATGGGGAGGGGGGGGTATGGCGAGGCTACAATAGGTATTACAAGAAAAGGTGAAACAAAGTTACTGGGAAGCGATGTGGCCCATGGGCCTCTTGTTTTACCTTATGACTTGGAATTTAACATAGTGATACTTTTGAAAAACTTAAATCTTTGCTATGCCATTCATTCCATAGAAAAGCATCGGTATTTCACTTTGGAAAACATTTTGAAAGAAAAAAAAACTTACTGATTTAATCTTGTTTAAATGTTTAAACATGGATTAAAGTTTGGAGGAAACTTGTCTAAAATAACATTGAATTCTCAAACTGCAGGCAAATGGTATTAGTGCTGCTGATGTGAAGAAAATGGAGGAGGCTGGATACTTCACTGTGGAAGCAGTTGCATATGCACCAAAGAAAAGTTTACTTGCAATCAAAGGCATAAGTGAAGCAAAAGCTGATAAAATTTTGGTAAGAGAACATGATAAGTTGGGTTTTTTTTTTAAATTAACACTTTTGTTGTAGGGTATACAGAAAAAGAACTTGCTCCAGGTTATGAGGTGAATAAATTGTACATAGAAAACTTATTTGGAACTGCTCTAGACACCTTTGCAGAATTTCTGCTCAAGCAACTTTTGATATCTTATTTTAAGAATGTGAAAATAATGAGAGACCACATCTGGGGGTCATAAAACTTAGATGAGCTCACTTTTGATATCTGTCTCACTTTTTCCAAAGCAGTTAATAGGGGAGAAGTGAGACTGAGATCTCAAAAGTGAGCTCGTCTAAGTTTTATGGCCCCCAGGCCAGGTTAAATGTTTTTGGAGCAGGTTTAAGGTTTTGGAAGAGGTTTAAGCTTTAAATACAGGTTTTAATTCAGTGTATCTGTGAAATTGTATGGCTACTACTCTTGAAAAGGTAATGCAGATAAGATCTAGGTATGCACTTTAAGTCTTCCTCAATGACTTTGGATCTGAATCTGACCTATATTTTTTTAAATGAGTAACCAGGTTAAATTTTTTTCATCCTCAAGAAACTGTAAGCCTTATTATGAGTTGTGACCAACCTTGCATTGATGATGCTTCCATAATGATACACCTAGGAATGCATACTTCCAAACTGGCTTCAGATGCTATATCTGATCTACATTTTTGCAATGAATAAACAGTTTATAATTTTGGAACATGTTTATCCAAAATAGTAAATTGTAACGTAGACCAAAGTTGCATGGATGATGCAGCTAGGGATGCACACTACCAGACTTGCTTCGGAACAATTTAGAACTATTGCATTGTAGTTTTATTGATTACATTTTAGTTTAATGAAACTCACATTTTAGTCTATCCTCTTTTTTTTCAGGCAGAAGCTGCTAAACTTGTACCGATGGGTTTCACCACAGCTACAGAGTTCCACCAAAAGCGATCAGAAATCATTCAAGTTACAACAGGGTCAAAGGAACTTGACAAACTTCTTCAAGGTTTGTTAATTGAGGATAACTAAAGCATGGCCATATTTACATGTTGAAAATGACAGAAAAGCAAATGTATGTCAGGTCCTGTATCCTTTTCAACAAAGTTTGCAAATAACTAAAAAGAGGTAAATCAAAGTATTATTTATACACAGTAATATCTCTGCCATCTCCATTTATTTCTTTTCTGGTCATTGGTTTTGTTTCAAATCAGAAGTTAAAATGTTTATGTATGGTCATGCATGTAGTTCTCACAACAAAATATTTTCACACCGGTATTCATAGTTATGTACTCCTTGACTTAAAATGTAGGCCAATATAATGTTAATATTGAAAACATTTTGTAAAATGTTTGTTTTGTGCATGATGGGAACATCATGATGGCTCAACATTAATATATCTCCAATTTTCTGTGTCCAGTTGATTTTGAGTTTAGGAAGTTAATCTTCAAAAACACTTGTCCACTCAGACAAGTAAACTTTTTATGCCCCCCTTCGAAGAAGGGAGGGCATATTGCTTTGCTGCTGTCTGTCGGTCGGTCTGTCGGTCTGTCCGTCCATTTAGTTTCCGTTCATTTTCTTCATAACCATTGCTCATACTGAAATGAAATTTGGTATACAGGTATATCACATGAATATCTAGGTCAAGTTCTGTTTTGGGTATGATCGCACCATAATTGACAGAGTTATGCCCCTTGGACTTCGAAAAATTCCAGTTATTTGCAGTTTCCGTTCATTTTCTTTGGAGAGGTTGCACATATTGAAATAAAATTTGGTATACAGGTTTATCACATGAATATCTAGGTCAAGTTCTGTTTTGGGTACGATCGCACCATAATTGACAGAGTTATGCCCCTTGGACTTAGAAAAATTCCATATTTTTGCAGTTTCCGTTCATTTTCTTTGGAGAGGTTGCACACATTGAAATGGAATTTGGTATACAGATTAGTCAGATGAATATCTAGATCAAGTTCTGTTTTGGGTACGATCGCACCATAATTGACAGAGTTATGCCCCTTGGACTTAGAAAAATTCCATATTTTGGCAGTTTCCATTCATTTTCTTTGGAGAGGTTGCACATATTGAAATGGAATTTAGTATGCCGATTAGTCAGATGAATATCTTGGTCAAGCTATGTTTTGGGTATGATCACACCATTTTTGACAGAGTTATGCCCTTTTGGACTTAGAAAAATTCCAATTTGTGGGGGAGGGGGGCATAAGTGTTTTACAAACATCTCTTGTTTCCTTTAAGGAAACATTTTGAAAATATCTGCATAAATACTGTTAAACATTGAATATTACTAAACTTCAATGTCAGTCAAATTTTTTCTCCCAAAACTTGGGAATAAATTGTTAAAAAGTTCATGTCAAAGCAATTTCTTTCTTAGAATAGGTTTTTTGCTGGTTATTTAGCAGAAAAACTTTCATGCAAAGGCCCTCCTTTTTTGTTGAGTCTGCCAACCAAGTTAGAAATCCAGGTAGATTCCCTCTTTTAAAAGCTCAATGTCTACATAAACTCTCAATGCATGTTATTTTTGTAGGAGGTATAGAGACAGGGTCCATAACAGAAATCTTTGGTGAATTCAGAACAGGGAAGACACAGCTTTGTCACACACTTGCTGTAACTTGTCAGGTTTGTGTCAATGTGCTTTAGCACTAGTTAGGATGTTTAATTAACCTATCTTAAAAGAACTTTTAAAATTTTTTTCAAAATCCATTTTTACTTTTCAAATTTTTGTGTTTGAAAAATCATGTTAAAGTAGAAAAAATGAAAATAGAAAATTCATTTTGAAAGAATATTGAATATTCTGTGTGTTTTTGTTATGTATGTATTCACTAAATGTTTTTGGGGAAATATATTACATAATTTGTCAAAATTACATATTTATTTTAATGAAGTTTATTTGTTTGAAATTCAATACATTATTAAAACCTGAAGAAGTTCAATTTTAGCTTCCTATAGACATGGGAGGGGGAGAAGGAAAGGCTATGTATGTTGATACAGAAGGAACATTTCGTCCAGAGCGTTTGCTTGCTGTAGCAGAAAGGTTTTTACTTGAATTCATTTTGATCGTTGTTCTGAAGTTATTTTTTCGTTGTAATTGTTTCAGTAAAATATTGTATCACATTTTATTTATTGACAAAATGGAAAAGAAGTACAGTGTAATAACTGATAAAGTAATGTTTGCTTATAGAAGTTTATGTTCCTTGCTTATATTATATTAAGGTTTAATTCAATTAACTTATAAAGATTTGTTTAAACATGAAGTAATTTTGGACTTGAAGGTATGGTCTGTCGGGCAGTGATGTACTAGACAATGTGGCTTATGCCAGAGCTTACAACAGTGATCACCAATCACAACTGTTAATACAAGCTGCTGCCATGATGGCAGAGTCAAGGTAGGGAATATTCTAATTAAAATGTCAATTAGATTTCTGTAACGAGTCACAGTTTTAATTTTAAAGAGTTTCTATTGTAAACCAGTACTTTGAATGAATCTCTAGGAAATCCTTCAAATGTATATCAATAACAAACCCTTTAAATGTATATCAATAACAAACCCTTCAAATGTATATCAATAACATTGTTACTTACATATATTTGAAGGGTTTGTTATCGATATATATTTGAAGGTTTTTTGTTCTATTTTGCCTGTTCGTCTCTAGGTATGCCTTGTTGATAGTGGACAGTGCTACAGCTCTATACAGAACAGATTACTCAGGGAGAGGGGAGTTGTCAGCCAGACAGATGCACTTGGCCCGCTTCCTTAGGATGCTTCTTAGACTAGCAGATGAGGTAAAATTGATCTAAACATACTGTTAAAAAAAACTTTATTTTTAATGTTTTTCAGTTTTTACTTGTCAATAAGTCAGAATTGTTTTAATGATAATTAAAACTTTTATTTGATTGCATGAGAGTATTCTGCCTACAAAAATTGTTAATTGTGGAAGGATAAGAGAGATAAAGTAATTCTTTTTAGTTCCCTCTGTTGTAGCTGCAGAACTGTAGCTCTCTGCTTGAGAAAATTCTGACAGAAAAAGCGGAGAGCTACAGACCCATGCATTGTTAAAACCTTGATTTACGCCACTGATTTTTTTGTTGCTCACTTCAGGCTCATTTCTTATATTTGATGTTTTCCCAGCTTTTTAAATGATATTCGATAATTAACCATACATTTAATTCCTATTCCTAAATGTTAATTTACCTTTCAACGGTTCAAGAAGGGTATTTTGTGGAAGTGAACGTAAAAATGGGAATCTTTTAAACAGACATTACAAATCCACAGAGGACTGTTTTGGACCATTGAAAGTTAAATAAAGTATCAATAATTAGAGTAAAATTTATGATTAATTATCAGATATCATTTAAAAAGTGTAAAAAAGCGTAAACTACAAGAAATAATACCTGAAGTGAGTGACAAAAAATCGGCAGCATAAATCAAAGGTTTTTACAATGCATTGATCTGTAGCTTTTTGCTTTTTCTGTCTGAATTTTCTCAATTAGAGAGCTACAGTTCTACTGCTACCTCTGTTGATGATTTAAGTTTCCTTCTTTTCTGTCAGTTTTTCCATCTGTTCATTTGTCATTCTGTCCCATTCTGCATCCCCCTCACCCCACTCTTTGCATTCTTTTCACTTCATTGATTATTTTATGGAATGACAGCTTATGTAGTATTTAAGTGGAACCAGATTTCCATACCTTAGAACATTAAAAAGACTATAATTCCATCGAAAATCATTGGAAGCGGAACAGAATGCAAAATTAGTCTATAACTCATCAAGTTAAACACACAGACACACCCAAAATCAGCGCAATATCCAAGCATTAAAAAAAATATAGAAATCCCTAATGGGAAAGACAGACGGAAAAGAAGGAAACTAGTCCTTTCTAGTTTCATCAGTAGGTGAATAAAAATCTTTGATGCTCTCAGTAATACAATGGATTATTAAATAGTATTCTTGAGGAAAGGAGAATAGAATTGTTTGGACTAAATATACGTACATGTATAAAAGAATAAGAGAGAAGATATTACGACTTAAGTCTTTTTTGACTTCCCATTTATCACACATAACAACATGCAATTATTTGTTTATTACAAAAAAAATGTTAGGCCAAATATTTTTTTCTAATGCATTTTAAAATGTAGCTTAAAATTAAAAGACTATGCAAGATTCAAAAAAACATGCTTACACTTTCAGTTCGGAGTTGCTGTGGTGATAACCAATCAGGTTGTAGCACAGGTTGATGGAGCTGCCATGTTTACTGCTGATCCTAAAAAGCCTATTGGGGGAAACATCATAGCACATGCTTCAACTACTAGGTATTTACTTTATTATAATAACTTGTATAAAAAAAGAGCTTTCAGTGTTGTTAATAGCTCAATTCAATGATGAATGTTATAACCTTGACATCTGCTTCCAAGGTTAAAGTTTTAGGTGCAGTTTTCCTTTGAAGTACTTATCTGCCCTACATTAATCAAAGAGGCTTGGAAGATACTTCAAGTGTGCTTCAGATGCTGCAATTTCAGCAAAGAAATGACCAGATAAAAGTTTTTGATACAGGTTAAAGTTTTTGGTGCAGTCCTCATTTCCAAGTAACTATAAGACCTATGTTGACTTAACTTGCATGAATGCACACTAATGATACATCTAGGGATTCACACTAATGGACTTGCTGGATCTGAACCTACATTTCCTAGATAATGGACCAGGTTTTAGTTTTGGGTGCACGTCTATTGTTAAGAAACTATTAGGCCTATCAAATTTGCATGGATGATGTAGTAAGAGATGAACAGTCAAATTTGCTTAGATGCAGGATTTTAAAAGAGCATAAAACGTTTCATTTTTGGATCAAGGGCAATCCTCATGTTTTAATTCTTTGCTGAAGATTGATAAATACACTTGTTTTCCGCAAAATTCAAGAACCACGCATTTTCACAAAGCCTGTTTTCCAATAGCTGGATTCTCAAGTAGAAATTTTGTTTTAGGAAATGAGAACAAGTCTATTTTATTTTGAGATATGAAATGAGACAGTGGGTCATAGCCATTTAATTTATATAAGGACAGGGTCATTTTATGCATAAAGTGAACCTGCATGAACTTGCATCTAATTTCATCACTGTAAACCAACTCTTATTCTTGTGCGAGAAATATTCGTGAGTTTCATGACCTATTTTGAATCACGAATATTAATCGCCATGAACCATTTATTTTGCTCTGTTTTTGTAGCAAATGTTTTGTTATTCATGAAAATTAATCATCCCAGACTGATTTAAAACTGAAGAATTGCAAATAAAAGATGACACGAATAATAGTTGGTTTACAGTATTTTGTTATATGCCCGTCTTAAGACGGGACGTATTATGTTATAGGCTTCATGTCCGTCCATCTGTTAGCTTTTTCGTTTCTGGCTCATAACTTTAATACTATTAGGCCTAGAGTTGTACATCTTGGGACTTGGCTAGAAGGTGTGTCGCACATTAATAGTAGGTTGCTCTGACCTTTACTTGAGAAGTTATAGCCCAATATGGAAAAATCCTTTCCGGCTCATAACTAGAAAACTATTAGACTTGGAATCATCAAACTTGGCCAGTTTATGCATCTAAGGTAGAAGGTGTGTCACGACATATTTTAAGTGAAATTTAAAAGAAAAAAAAAACTGTGTCTGTTTACTATTCATATACACATCCCAGAAAAATGTAAGAGTATTGCAGTATCCTTATTTAAAAAATATTAATTAAAAAAAGAAAATTTCAGCATATACTTTACAGCAATCTATAACAAATGTAATGTTTGTTATAAGAGAAATTCTATCTCTCTCATGGGTATAATTATCAAGCACTGGTCAAGAAAAATTTGATAACAGAAAGTTGCAGTCAAATTAGAGAGAAATTAATGAGTTTTATAGTGTGAGGAGCTAAATGGTAGAGCGTCTCTGATGAAGCAGGTGTTATCTATATCTCTTGGGAATTGGGCAAATGGGTCAGCCTGTTGAATCAAAATATTAATATTTCTTGTTGGCTAGCCTAAGTTTTAGACAATAGAACTGCTGGTCATTTTATAGCATATGTCATTTGATGGCCAGCCTTAAAATTTATTTTCAAAATAAATTTGGAAAGATTAAGTTGTCAAGACTTATTTAGTAGATTTTGTTAAATACGATGGGCATTTGACAAGGTCTAACACAACCTGTATAGAAATTTATGATATAATATTTGTTATGATTAATGCCTACACCACAGGAGATGTATAAACAGCAAATACTTTAAGGAATGGAAAAAGCATGAAGATCTTTGAATCAAGTCATTGACATGATTTTCTAGCACTCAAAACTGTTTAAAATAATTGAAATTATTTGACTGGCATATTATGCTGTTTTTATTATGCTATTTTTAGGTTATATCTTAGAAAAGGGAGAGGAGAGACAAGGATCTGTAAAATTTATGACTCTCCGTGTTTACCTGAGGCCGAAGCCATGTTTGCTATCAACGCTGATGGAATCGGGGATGCCAAGGACTGAAGTGTTATAAATAACTGACAGGTGATAAAGGACTGATTACAGGTCCAATCAGAAGTGTTCAGACACTGCGGGGACACCCAGCCCCAGATTTCTCCAGATCCTAGAAAATGTGTAACTTCAGGAGAGAAGTGTACTAAGAACAGTGAGAAATAATGCTTTATTACCTAGGATCTCAGTGCACATGTAATGCATTCAAATGCTTGCACTGTATGTTTTTGTTATTTTTTCTTATAAATTACATGTATATGTGCTAAATATGGTCTTTTGTTTGCTTTAATGTATTGAACAATTTAAACAAGATCTAGATGTTCATATTAGCAGGTATGTGCCATATGCAAATGCTCTTGAGTTTTAGAAATGGAATGTTATACAACAATACTATGAGCAAGCATTATTACTGTATAAAGGGTTCTCCCCAATTTTATTTTCCTTATTTTATACCTGCTTACAAATTTGCTAAACAATTTGTGTTTTCCTTTAAATATTTGAGCCCTTTTGACAAGGGAGTAAGGTTCAAAAATAATTTTGCCCCCTTCGAAGAAGAGAGGGCATATTGCTTTGCTGCTGTCAGTCGGTCCACTTAGTTTCTGTTCATTTTCTTCACAACCATTGCGTATACTGAAATGAAATTTGGTATACAGATTTATCAGATGAATATCTAGCTAAAGTATTGTTTTGGGTACGATCATGCCATTTTTTACAGAATTATGCCCCTTGGACTTAGAAAAATTCCTATTATTTGCAGTTTCCGTTCATTTTCTTTGCAGAGGTTGCACATACTGAAATGAAATTTAGTATACAGATTTTTCAGATGAATATCTAGGTCAAGTTCTGTTTTGGGTACGATCGCGCTATTTTTTACAGAGTTTTGCCCCTTGGACTTAGAAAAATTCCTTTTATTTGCAGTTTCCGTTCATTTTCTTTGCAGAGGTTGCACATACTGAAATGAAATTTAGTATAAAGATTTTTCAGATGAATATATTGGTCAAGTAGTTTTGGGTATGATTGCACCATTTTTGACAGAGTTATGGCCCTTTGGACTTAGAAAAATTCCAATTATTTGCAGTTTCTGTTCATTTTCTATGCAGAGGTTGCACATACTGAAATGAAATTTGGTATACAGATTAATCAAATGAATATCTAGGTCAAGTTTTGTTAGCTCTTCTGAGCCAAAGGCTCAAAGAGCTAATGCTATGGCCATTTGTGCGGTGTGCATCGTGCGGTGTGCGTTAACTTTTTAGAATATGGGCCATAACGCAAGAACCCCTTGGCCAATCATTGTCAAATTTGTCACAGGGTATCCTTGGCCCAAGGGCTACCATTTATACTAAAACTAGGGGTGGGACCCTAAAACAAGGGGAGATAATCAGGAAAATGAAACCAAAAGTACTGGTTGCTAAAGAATCTTCTCCTCCAGAACCACCAGGCAGATTTTCACCAAACTTACATACAAGGGTCAGGATATGTTGAAGATTAAAAATTGTTCAAGGCATCACCCTGGGGCAAAGGGTGTGGTCTCAAGGTCACTTCAAAGTTGACAAAAATTTACACGTAATAAAAACGTTGATATTTTGCTTACTATAAAGACTAGGATCATCAAATCTTGTAAGTTGATGCATCTTAGGACTTCACATCGTGTTAATACAAAAGTAGGTCACGGTGACCTACTTTTTAAATTTTACGGGCTTTTGTTTTCAAATTGATTTTGAGGCATATTTTGGACACTTTAAGGCCTATGATTATTAAACTTTGTCAGTTGGTGCATATTGGGTCCACAAACAACATTAACTTAAATGTAGGTCATCGTGACCTACTTTTTGAATTTTATGGGTAATCTTTTGTAAAACATTTAATCCCATTATTTCAGACACCGAGAGGTTTAGAATCACCAAATTTTGTTAGTTGATGCATCTTGGGGCCTTAAGACATATTTATTAAAAAGTAGGTCACTGTGACCTACTTTTTGAACTTTGCAGGCTTTTGTTTTCAAATTGTTTAAAAGGCATATTTTGAATACTATAAGACCTATGATCATCAAATTTTGTCAGTCGATGCATCTTTGGTCTTCAGAAAATGTCGACCAAAAAGTAGGTCACAGTGACCTACTTTTGACATTTTATGGCTAGATTTAAGTATCTCGGGTACTTATTGGCTTAGAATCATCAAACTTTGTCAGTTGATGCATCTTAGGTTTTCGGAGATCGACAATCAAAAAGTAGGTCACGGTGACCTATTTTTGACATTTTATGGCTAGATTTATGTATCTCAGGTACTTATTGGCTTAGAATCATCAAACTTTGTCAGTAGATGCATCTTAGGTTTTCGGAGCATGTCGACCAAAAAGTAGGTCACAGTGACCTACTTTTGAATATCTCAGGTACTGATTGGCTTAGAATCATCAAACTTTGTCAGTAGATACATCTTGGGTTTTCGGAGAAGGTCGACCAAAAAGTAGGTCACAGTGACCTACTTTTGACATTTTATGGCTATATTTAGGTATCTCGGGTACTTACTGGTTAAGAATCATCAAACTTTGTTATGTGAAGCATCTTGGGTTCTTGGAGAATGATCATCGAAAAAAGGTCACGGTGACCTACTTGTGACATTTATGGCTATATTTAAGTATTCTAGGGTACTTATTGGCTAAGAATTGTCAGACTTTGTCAGTTGATGCACCTTGGGTTTTCAGAGAATGTTGACCAATAAGTAGGTCACTGTGACCCACTTTTGGATATCTCAAGTACTTATTGGCTTAGAATCATCAATCTTTGTCAATTAATGCATCTTGTGTCCTCAGGAAATTTCCATCAAAAAGTAGGTCACCATGACCTACTTATAGTATTTTATAGTTACATTTAAATATCTTCAGCCCTAACTAGCTAAGAATCATCAAACTGTGTCAGTTGATGCATCTTGGGTCTTCGGATAGATTGTATCATTTATCAGAAGAGCGATTCAAGGCCCTTGGGCCTCTTGTTTTGGGTACGATCGCATCATTTTTGACAGAGTTATGCCCCTTTGGACTTGGAAAATTCCAATTTGGGGGGAGGGGGGCATAAGTGTTTTACAAACATCTCTTGTTTTCATTGTATCCCCAGTAACATGTCTGTATTTTGTTAATGTATTTCTATTTGTAGTTACATGTATTTGTTTGTATAAATACAACTTAAGAAGTAAAAAATTTGTAAATTCTGTCAATTGGCAGACTTTATGCTCTGTCAGTGATTGTAAAGTGTTTCAAGGCCAAACAAATAAATTCTGCTATTGAGATTCAAACTTCATTCTTTTTTTGCATAATTTTATTTGAGTACATCAATCAAATCAGTCATGTCATGAATTTCATGTCACATGTTCAGAAGAAAACCTTGTGAGTTTATTATTGGAGTAAAGTTTTTACAAAATATGATTGAAGGTTTTCTACTACATGTTTTTGCATTATAATGTCTGATCTGTGTTGTTTCAATGCTAGTAAATATGATATTTTAATTGTACCAGATTTTTTTTCATATTCTGAATATGTTGAAGATGTCAATGTTTAATTATATCTTAATCATATTGAATAAAAGATGGAATGATTTTTTTTGTGTGCTGGTATACTTTTCGACAAAATACTAGGGTATTTTGAATTGAAAACAATATATATTTGTGAAACACTGATATCCCCATATGGCAACTTTGATATAGCGAAATTAAAACTTTCTCAAATGCAATAATTATAATAATAGAGGTTATGAAAAGAAATGTTATGGGGAAAGGACAAGGTCATAGGTTAAAAAGAAATTCCATTGCAGAGAAGGACAGGAGCTCAAAATTTGGAGGTTTTAATTTTTAGGCTCAAGTGAGCTTTTCTGATCAAAATTTGTCCGTTGTCTGTTGGCATTGTTGTCGTAAACTTTTGACATTTTCATCTCCAAAACCACTGGGCCAATTTCAACCAAACATGCCACAAAGTATCCTTAAGTGAAGGGGATTCAAGTTTGTTCAAATGAGGGGCCAAACCCTCTTCCAAGGGGAGATAATTATGATTTAATGAAAAATTAATGGTAACTTGAAAAAATCTTCTCCAGAACTATTGGCCCAGGAAAGACGAAACTCATGTGGAATCGTCCTTAGGTAGTGTGGATTCAAGTTTGTTCAAACCATGAAAACCATGATCCCCGGGTGTAGGCGGGGGGGGGGGGGGGGGGGGGGGGCTCACAATGGCTGATTAAAGTTTTACATAGGAATATATAGGAAAAATCTGTTAAAAATCTTTTCCAGAACCATTGGGCCAGGAAAGATGAAACTCCTATGGAAGCATCCTTAGACAGTGTAGATTCAAGTTTGTTCAAATCGTGACCCCTGGGGTTAGGTTGTGGCCAAAATGAGGGATCAAAGTTTTCCATAAGAATATATAGGGAAAAAAAATCTTCTCATGTAATCTTGACATGTAAGCATCAGCAAGTGCTTTAAGATTTAAATTTATTGAAAAATTGTCTGGGGGCAAAATTATACATGTATGCTTTATTGATATTGATATAGTGACATTCTCAAGTAATAGAAAATTCAAATCCCCCTCCCTCAACAAGTAAACGTTTCAATACTGAGCTGATTTGTGTTTTTTAACTAGCCCATGTGCTCAGGTGAGCGATGTGGTCCATGGACCTCTTGTTTTGTATCTTCTTTAAAGTGTATAGATAGTGATTACATGTTTGCAATATATATCTTGCTAGGAAGTAAAATTTCTCTGTGAGAATATATTTAAAATATAGCTGTAAAGGTCAAAATCACCTGAATTCTTAGAAACAAGCACGAGTTCTTCCTCAGGGACCAATAGATAAAGTTTGACCGATATAATCGCCAATATAACTTCTGGTCAGATAAACTGGCTGTTACTGATTATTTTGTTGGTCAACGTGTGAACTATGTTGGTTTAATTCACCCATTCGCGTTGACCTTTCAAGATCTTCCCTGTTCCCGTGGCTAACCCTGATTTCTAAATATTAGTTTTATGCGAGTATATTACTGCTTTTGATAAAAACTATGATTCTATATGTACAAATACACCAGAACAATACATATATATTTGATTCTTTGAGACGTAACTAATGTTCAATCTATAATTATTGATAAATTCATTTCTGGGTGTCAAAATCAATCAACAATTTTTAATTGCAATAATTCACATGTTAGATTACTTGCTGTAAATGATTTTGAGACTACTTGCCCTTTATAGCTTGTTCAAGTGGCCAATAATGGATGAAAATAAATACTGCAAATATGTCCCACCCACTTGGCACCACTTGGTGCTACCACTACAACCCAATTCTTATAGCGGGGAATGATAGCCTTAGGGCACCTCTACCTTGCCCCAGTAATGATTTGGTGGACACTTCAAAGATAAGGAGTATAATAGCTCAACTTAATGGGTATCTCAGTGTATAATTTAAAAAAAAATCAGGTGAGCTATTTGGCCCTTCCAGTCCCTGAGATCCCTAGAAACGCTGCTTTAGGGATACCCTTAAGGCCCTTAACCCACCCCCAGTGACAGTTTGTTTAAAGACCCAATTTTTTTACCGTACGGTTACCTGAGGAGGGGGAGTGGTCCAAGTAACAGTGGTGTTATTTACCTGGAGACCCCCAATACCCAAGATGTCAAAAATCTGTGTATACGTAACATTACACAGGAAGTCTGTCTGTGGTAATCAGGGTCAACATTCCGTATTTCGTGTTTAAATTTGAGTGAAACTACTTGAAATAATTGAAATATTTCTATATAAAATTTAATTATAAATACTTTCAGCGATATCTTATGAGGAAAAAAAAATTAAAAAATATATATATCGTTTTTATATTTTTAAAAAATATTGTGAAATTAAAGAAAAGAAAACTACAAAGTAAACATATCTTTTTTAATTAAACTTGTGTAAATATTAAAAAAAAAAAATCCATTCATAGGCCTATCCGTCGTGTGAACATACTCAATGTACCGCGATAGGAATATTGCTTACATTCTGACCAACAATAGTGTCGAAAATATTCACCATTTCCGGGTGTTCGTGTGTTTAAAATTTTTTATTGTTTGCAGGATTTCTTTTATACTTTTAAGGATTGATCTTTGGCTTTATATATATACTTTTTTATTTTGCATATAGGGTGTTGACAGACGTTAGGATATTCGAACTAAAAGTTAAAATCTCGAAACTCATGTTTCTGACATTTCAGAACTTTACAACGGAACAAGGTGTAGATTGTATTCATATATACATAGATAAGACATGGGATGAAAGAATTTTTTATACATGCTTGTGTTAAATATATTTCGTATTTATCATATTTCAATTTGTTATAATTTTAATCGGCAAATAGCGTTTCTGTACACGGACCGTCTAAATTCTACGAAGATATCTTGGAAGACATATCGCCTAATATACGATACAGCCGCTGAGATTGAAAGAAAATATTTTTTGAAGTCAAGTTTTAATTATCTACTCTAAATTATTTTTGAAATAAAATTTAACCAAGATTCTTTTTTTAACCCCTGTGTATACAAGGCGGGTACATGAAAGTGTTTGATGCGTGACCAGTCTAGACGAACTCCAAAAACGGCGTGAACTCCAAAAAAGAAGTCTTTGGCTCCGTCATGCATTGCGGCAAAATGGCTTCCGGTGTAAACAAACGATAGATTGTCGTTCGCTTTCTCCACAAATACGACTGAATAATGGCTGTATTAAGTAAACTGTGACTGGATTTTAATTTTTGTTGAATAAATAATTGTACCCATTAAATTATTTAGTGGTTATTGATTTATTTATCGCTCTGTATTCTTGCATAATAGTGATTTGGGATATACTTACGACACCGGGATTCAATAAAGTCGGTAAGAATTAATTTTCTAACTTAATTCATTGTCCCATTGATTTAAATTTTATGCCATTCCCACTATAAAGATACTTATATTTTATTTCTA